GAAAATGCTTATTCTAGTTACTACTCAATATATTTCTCTCCAGGGAGGAAAGTCTCTACAGAAAGATCTATTACAAAAAAGTTTACTTAATAAAGGTAGAATTTGGGGTCAGCAGATGACATAACAGTTATGTTGCTGGATTCCCACATGGTCAGTGGTGGTTCGAGTCTCAGACCTGGTAGCTTAAAAATCCTACCAGATGCATGTGCGTGCATGCCTAAGATCCTGGGAACAGAATAAAAGAGAAGGGGTTGTGGCATGGCCAACCTCCGCAGGGTGCGATTTCTCACTTTCTCTCTTACTGTCACTGTCTGTCTCTCCAGCAAACACACATGCCCGAAGGCAAAACTTTTTTACAAAATTAAAATTTTTCAAGTTTTAGCTCTTTCTGACTATTATTTTATACTCATTTTCATTCTGTATAGTGAAATAAATGAGTAAAACATTGATATTAGCATTACTGAGTAAAAATATTACATATTTGAAATAATGCACTACTCAAGTTAGATGCATGGTATGGTGGTGCATATCCTATGGATCTGACTTGATGTTCCACTTTTATTTCTGTAACCTGACTAATATCTTCATTCAACTATGATGCTCTGAAAACTATATTTTTTAACTATCTTGTTATTGTAGGATGATTGTAGATTCTGATAATCATTTGGATTGTTAAAGCTCCTTTTCTATAAAGAGTAATTATGATGTAATTATTTAAGCAATTATAAAGTAGCATAACATTTTGTAATATAAATGTTATTATTTATTTTTATTTTCAAATTTTTATTCTAATTTTTAAAAAAACTTATTTCATTTGTAGCTTTGTAATCTAGTTGGATTAATATTTTTGAGAACTATCTTATTGTAAGACAAATATATTTACATAATAAAATTTACAATACACTACAGGATGAAACAGTCCTCTTCAAAGTATGATTTCCCAATCTGACTCTCTAGAGTTTATCGCTTTTTCTTTACACCATTATCACCAGCAAATGACTTTTAATTTTGTTTTCAATTAAATATACTTGTTTTCTTCCCTTTTCTCCTCCCTCCTTCCTCCATTAACCAACCCCGCATTACCTCTCCCTTTACTATCTCTAGTATCTACAGTGGCTTCCCTGTTACTATACCTTCCAAACTTTTAGTTTCTGCTATAGAGAGAAGACAATTGGTATATATTGAATGGAGACATAGAAAGTGTGTCTTTCATAGTCTGGTTTGCTTTGCTTAGCATTAAGTCTTCTATGTTCATCCACCTGGTATCAAATGTCAGGTTTCATTGCTTATTATGGCTTAGTAGTATTTGATAGAGTGCATGTGCCATGTTGTTTTCAATCCAGTCATCTATTTCTGGACATTTGGCTTGAGTCCATGTCCAAGCAATCAGAAATAATGCTGCAATAAGCATGGATTTAGAAATGCTTTCCCGACTGAGGGTTTTTCGATCCTTTGGGTAAATACCTGAGTGGAGTTACTGGGTTGTGTGGTAGTTCTATTTGTAGGTTTCTGTGAAATCTCCAGATCGTTCTCCAAAGTGGTTATACTAATTTGCATTCCCACCAACAGTGTAGGAGAGGTCCCATTTCAACACAACCTTGCCAGCACTTATCATTATTTATTCTTTTTAATTTTAATCATTCTGACTGGGGTTAAGTGGTATCTCATTGTGGTTTTGATTTACATTTCCCTGATGATAAGAGATGTTGAGCCTATTTTCATATGATTTTTGACCATTCATGTGTCTTTTTGGAGAATTATCTGTTCAGCTCCTTTTCTTGTCTTTTAAATAGATTGGTGTGTGTGTATGTGTGTGTGTGTGTGTGAAAGTTGCTTGAGTTCCTCATGTATTCTGGTTATCATTCCCTTATCTGAGGTAAAATTTGAAAATACATTCTTCCACTCTGAATATTGTCTCCTCACTCTACTCATTATTTCTTTGGCTATGCAGAAGCTTCTCAGTCTAATGTAGTCCCATTTGTCTATTTTTGGGATGATTGCCTGTGCTTCAGAGATCTTTACTAATCCCTTGCTTATGCCAAGGTCTCCAAGAGGTTGTCCTGTGTTTTCCACTCATATTTTTATAGTTTGAGGTTTTATGTTTAGATCCCCAATATATTTTGAGTTACTTTTTCTAGTGGTGAAAGATAAAGATCTAATTTCATTCTTCTGCAGGTGGATATCGAGTTCTCCCAGCACCATTTTTTTTTTTTTGAGAGATTTTTTCTATAGGGCGTGTGCACTTGCCAGAAAGACAGGGGGAGCCAGAGAGCCAGAAAGCAAGAAATCCCACCCCCCCCCCGGGGGGGGAGAGGGATGGCCATGCCACAATCCCTTATCCATTCTCCTCTCAGGATCTTGGGTACGCATACATACACATCTAGCATGAGTTTAAGCCACTAGATCTGGAACTTGAACTGCAGTTGATTACATGGGAGTCCAGCAGCATAGCCATTACACTAACTGCTGGTCCCCCCACCCCAGCACCATTTGCTGAAGATATTTTTTCCCCACTTGTCTTCTGTCCTTTGTCAAGGATCTGTTGACTCTATGTTTTGGGGTTTACTTGGGGGTTCTCGATTCTGTTCACTTGGTCTACTTGTCTGTTTTTGTGCCAATACCATACTGTTTTAATCATCACAGCTTTGTAATATGTTTTGAAGTCAAGAAGTAAGATACCTCCTACTTTATTTCCCTTGAATGGTAATGCTTTGGTAATATGAGACTTTTTATGTTTCCCAAGAAATTTTGTGATTGTTTTTCTATTTCCAAGAAATAGCTCTGGTGGTTTGATTGGGATTGCATTTAATGTATAGATTAATTTCAGTAGGACTCATGTCTTGATTATATTACTTCTTCCAATCCAGAAACATGGGATGTTTTATCACTTTTTGTATCATTGTTATTTTCTTAATCTAGTGATTCATGGTTTTCTTTCTAGGGATCTTTGACATCTTTAGTAAGGTTTATTTGTTTTATGGCTATTGTAAATGGTATTTCTTTCTTCAGTTCTATCTAAGTTTGTCCATTTTTGGTATATAAAAATGCTATAGATTTTTGTATATTGATTTCGTGTCCTACCACTTTACTGTATTCATCACTTTCAGTAGTTTTTTTGCAGATTCCTTTGGATTTTCTATGTATACATAATATCATCTGCAAATAGAGATAATGTCATTTCTTCTTTTCCTATTTGGATGCCTTTTATTTTACTATCTTGTCTAATTGCATTGGTTAGAGCTTCCAGTACTATGTTAAAAGGAGTGGAGAACGTAGACAGCTTTGTCTTGTTTCAGTTTTTAGTGGAAAGACTTTCAGCTTTTGCCCATTCAGTATGATGTTGGCTATGTGTTTTTTATATTTTTTTAGTAGTTTTTAATAGATGGATTATATTCTGTTGAGGAATGTTACTATGCTGATTTTACAGTCTTATTCATTGTGTTTATTTGAATACTTTTTCTGCATCGATTGATATGATCCTATGGTTTTTATCTTTTCTTTTGTTAATGTGATGTAACACATTTATTGTTTTGCATGTGTTGAACTGTTCTTGCATCCCTGGAATAAATCCTACTTGGTCATGGTGTATAATCTTTTTAATATGTTTTTTAATATGATTTGCTAGTATCTTGAGAACTTTTGCATCTGCATTCATCAGGGACATGGGCCTGAAGTTTTCTTTTTTGGTCATATCCTTATCTGGTTTCGGAATTAAGATGATGGAGGCTGGGATCAACAGCATAATGGCTACGTCGCTGGACTCCCATGTAGTCGACCGCGGTTTGTGTCCCAGACCTGGTGGCTTAAAACTCACGCAGGGCGTGTGTGTGTACATGCCCAAGATCCCGAGAGGAGAATGGGGGAGAAGGGATTACAGTGTGACCATCCCCCCTGGGGGGTGATTTATCGCTTTCTGTCTCTATGTCTCTCTCTGTCTGGCGAGCGCACGCGCCCTATAGCAAAAACCTCTCCCCCCCAAAAAAACCCCCAGAAAACAAAAAACAAACAAACAAAAACTCATGCCTGGTGTGTATGCGTGCGTGCCCAAGATCCCGAAAGGAGAACGGAGGAGAATGGAGGAGAAGGGATTGCGGTGTGGCCATCTCCCCTGGGGGATGATTTCTCATTTTCTGTCTCTCTGTCTGTCTGTCTGGTGAGTGCACGCGCCCTATAGCAAAAACCTCTCAAAAAAAAAAATTCTCTTTTATTTCACTGTAATAAAAGATAGCCGAATCTGTCCCTCTCTTGTCTCCCTTCACTAATTAGTAAGAAGTGATCAGATAACCTTAAGAGCATCTCATCCAAAGGCAAGACTAGGCCAATCAGGTTTTATCTCTCAAAAAATTTACCAGGTTACTCAGAGTTTGTAGTGGGTGGTAAAACCAATTTAAATGATGTAGTCATGTGATACAAGAACATCTAGAGTTGAGGATTTGTGACTGTCCATTCAGATTCCTAACAATTTTTCATCAGTCACTGAGACTTGTGTCTTAAATAGATAGGGGTCTTTAAAAATGCATAGGGAAAACATATTAGGAAAAAAATAATACATGATTTCAAGAAATTTTGTACTAAAATAAATTCATACGTTAATTCCATTTTCCATGTATTTTGGAAGACCCTTAGTATAAACCTTTCACTTGAAATAGTTTGAATAAATTTTCAGATTCCCTAAGAGATAGTTTTCTTCCACAAACATTTTTCAGAGCATGGGAGTAAATGGCAAATAGTCTGACAGTAAATTTATCTTCTCATTTTTTTTTATTAGATTCTAGGTAAGTACATAATTCAGCTCTCTTTAATTCACACATAGTGATACTGAGTTGCAAACTAAGAGTTTTTAATTACTCTGTGGGTGAACACATCATTTTCTACATCCTGTGTTAATTTTATTTCCATTCCATTACCTCCTGTCATGCATTATCCATCTACATAAAGTTTTGTCCAAGATCATTGTAAATTCTTTCCTCTTACCTTTAATTTTTTTAAAAGCATAATGTTTATTTTTCATCATAAACCACCATCAATCTGTTCCATACTTTTCTCATGGCGTTTTTCATGTCCTTATTTCTGAAGGTATAAATCAAAGGATTAAGCAAGGGAGTTAAGGCAGTACAAAATATTGCCACAATTTTATCAAAAAAGAAAGCCGATGGAGGTCTGAAGTACATAAATATGCACGGGACAAAGAACAAAACCACAACAGCAATGTGAGATCCACAGGTGGAGAGAGCTTTCTGCCGCCCTTCAGAACTATGGGTCCTCAGTGAGAGCAAAATGACACCATAGGAGATAAGCAACAAGGTGAAGATTATGATGCAGATAAACCCGCTGTTGGCAATCACCAAAAGGTGAAAGATATGAGTGTCCATGCACGCAAGCTTCAGTAATGGGTACAAGTCACACATGATGTGATCTATGACATTGGGGCCGCAGAAGGGCAACTGAAAAGTAAAGAGAATTTGGATCATAGAATGCAAGAAGCCCCCTGTCAAGGCTACTCCCATCAGAATGCCACAGAGCCTCCAGTTCATGATAGAAGAGTAGTGCAAGGGCTTGCAAATGGCCACGTAACGGTCATAGGCCATGACTGTGAGGACAATCACTTCTGCCCCAGCGAAGAAGTGTTCAGCAAAGATTTGGACCATGCAGCCTTGAAAAGAGATGGTTTTCCTCTCAGAGAGGGAGTCTGCAATCATCTTTGGGGTGATAACAGAGGAGAAGCACGCATCCAGGAAGGACAGGAAGGCCAAGAAGAAGTACATGGGGGAACCCAGCAGGGCAGGGCTGCTGAGGATGGTCACCACAATTAGCATGTTGCCCCCGATGGTTGCGATGTACACAAACAAAAATACAATAAATACCATTTTCTGAATATTTGGATCCTGTGAAAGTCCTAGAAGGACAAAGTCAACTACCAAGCTTTGGTTTTGCATGATTTCCAAGGAAAAGATGAAGGACACACAGTATTCATAGAATCTGTAAGTATAAGAGAGAAGAACATTGCTTCATAGGAGTTCATAGCAAGGTAGTCATCAAAAAGTATACTTTTATAATTTTATATTCTGCTATATATAAAATTACCTTCAATGCCTCTTTCATAATTGAGAACATAAATTAGAAATTTGTTAAAGGCAATGGTAAGAAGATAGGTGCAGAAAAATTATTTAACAAATACTTTAAAATAGCCAGACAGAGCATTGATGGAATGGGGAGGTGTGGTGTTATCTGTTGAAGATATTTTGATCAACTGGACTGGGGAGAAATGTTCACATATTGAAATATTCACTTTGTAAGCTAAATAATATGATTGAATGTATATAAAAAATTAAAATAAAAAAATAAAAATTAAAATTTATAAAAGCCTGAATTTCAAAATGAGGAAGGAAAACATCCACATGTGATTGCAATAAGAAATAAATTTTAGAGCCTGCAGATAGCATGGTGATTATGGTGCTAGACTTTGACTATTTGACTACGGTTCGAGTCCTGCACTTGGCAGCTTGATTTCTCACTTTCTCTGTGTGTGTGTGTGTGTTTGTGTGTATGTGTGTCAGATGAGTGCATGAGCCCTTTAGCAAATTTAAAGGAATAATAATAAATAAATAAAATTAAATAAATAATTTTTTAAAATATTTTTTTGAAGAAGTTTTTTGCTATAGGGCACGTGTGCTCTCCAGATAGACAGAGAGAGGCAGAGAGACAGAAAGCAAGAAATCACCCCCTAGGGGGGATGGCCATGCTGCAATCCCTTCTCCTCCATTCTCCTCTCAGGATCTTGGGCATGCACACACACATGCCTGGCGTGAGTTTAAGCCACTGGGTCCAGGACGCCAACCACAGTTGCCTACATGGGAGTCCAGCAACATAGCCATTATGCTAACTACTGGTCCCTTTAAAATAATTTTGAAAAAGTATTTTTTAAAAAATTAAATAGTTTTTAACTCAGGGGGGCAGCTTTGGATATTTACTAGTCACTTTCTGGTGTGAATTTCTGAAAATCATTCTGAAGCCACATTTGAGAAAAGAAGACTGGATCTGATAAGTAATTCCTACTATTGGAATGGAATAAGAACAAGAATAGTTTGAAAACCATCCCTGATAAGAAAACTGCCTTGTTTACAAATAGAAGAAATAGCATCCAGTTTAAGATGCATTTGAAAATCATGGCTAACTCTCAACTATATCTTTAAAATACTGAATTGAATCGATACTTTAATGAATTAATTTATTCTTTATAAAAGAGAAAAATCTCAGGAAATGTGTCTAGCTCTGTATCTCATGTAACAAGAAAGCATTATGTTGAGTTTCTTTTTTTAATTCATCATTTTAAAACAAGAATAGAGGTTTATCAAAACAACACCTATTTTAGAGTGCTATGGTATCTAACAAAAATAATGAGAAGAAAGCAACCACTCAGGACCTCATTTTCTAGAAAATAGTCTACATTAGCATTTTTTTAAAAGTTCATCTACCTATTTTTTTATGAGAGAGAGAGGAAGAGAGAGAGAGAGAGGGAAACAGGGAAAAAGAATGTTTCTTGACAGATTTTCACCATGGTGTGGTCCTTACGCTCAGCTCTTCAGCGAGCCAAGATCACAGGCATTCACAGCATGTTCAGGACCTGAACCTGGATCCACGATTTTCATTGGGATGATGCAGCCAAGGCTATGTTAAGCCTCATTATCCCTATTTTACTGGTAGGATAGTCCACAAAGAATTTAAGTTCAAGCAAACAACACATGCTAGGCCTGGGATTTTTACAATGTTTTATTATAATACCCACGTCCTTTCTGTGAGATCAACAGGTTAAGAAGTGGAGGTTTTTCTTTTCAGTGAGAACTTCAGAGTGAAGATGGCCTTTCCATAGTTTCAGTTCACCTGTGAAGGTTAAAGCACATGACTGGTTTGTTCCTGTTTGAATGAGGCAACTCGATGAAGGAAATAGAGCAACTGATACAGAATTAGAAGATGATAACCCAATCACTTACATATGGAAACTGGTAGCAGCCAAATAGGTAAGAAATAAGAATATGTAGACTATAAGTCAAAATATTGGCTTTACTAATTATTTGTCAATTATTTATACAATATGACCCAATCTGATCAAATACATCTTCTTAATTTATAAAAGATCTTCAAAATGTTCATGAAAATGTGTTTTATGAAAACAAATGCAGGCTTTCAAACTTTTAAAAAATTATTATTTTATTTATTTTTTTATTTTTTAAGTTTCCTATTGGGCAAATGCATCCACCAAAGAGAGACAGAGATGGAGAAAGAAAATGGGAAAGCAAGTCACCAAGTCTGGGACTCCAACTACAGTTGGTCATGTGGGAATACAACACTTTAACCAAAACTCAACCCGCTGGCTCCAAGATCTCAAAATTTTATTGCAAATAAAAATAAACTCATACTTCAATTCCTTTTTTTTTTTTTTTAGAGAGAGAGAATTTTGCTATAGGGCAGGTGTGCTCGTTGTGGAGAGAGACAGCGAGAAATCACCCTAGGGAGATGACTATGCCACAGTCGAGATTTTGGGCATGCATGCATGCACACACACACACTCACACATACACACACACACACACACACACACACACTCACACCACATGCCCAGCATGAGTTTTAAGCAAAACGGTCTTGGACTTGAACTATGGTCGGCCATGTGAGAGTCCAGCAATGTAAGCATTGCACCATTGCTGATCCCTTTAATTCAGTTTTCTACAAACTTTTTGAAGTTTATTTTATATCTATTTCAAACTTACATAAATTATCATAAAGCAGAGATGTTCAAATAAATATTACCTGCTCATCATCAAGGATTATGATGAAGGTCAAATTTGAAAATGCAAAAATGGTGTTTATGATAAAGTGTCCTTATAAATCCTTTTCTTTTTCTCGCACATAAAATGTCAGCCACCATACACACAGAAAATTATATGTCATATAGATAATTATACAAATTTTTTTTTTTTGGAGAGATTTTCACTGTAGGGCGCGTGTGCTCGCCAGACAGACAGAGAGAGACATAGAGACAGAAAGCAAGAAATCACCCCCCAGGGAGGATGGTCACACCGCAATCCCTTCTCCTCCATTCTCCTCTCGGGATCTTGGGCACACATGCACACGCGTCCGGCGTGAGTTTTAAGCCACCGGGTCTGGGACACGAACCGCGGTCGACTACATGGGAGTCCAGCGACATAGCCATTACGCTAACTGCTGGTTCCCGATAATTATACAAATTTTTGACTTAATTTTCCATATGTAACAATAGCTTTAAAGGATGATTGTGTCGTCATATACATATAAAGATTTGTCTACTGATATATAAATATATCTACAGATACATATACACACATGCATATATGTTTATATGCACAGACTCATATCTATGTATGTGTTTGTTAAATGTTAATAAAAGCATAATGGTATTTACTGTGATAACTACATATTAGCTGATTTTTTTTAAGAGAGAGATTTTTGTTGTAAGGTACTTGCACTTGCCAGAGAGACAGAGAGACTAAAAGTGAGACATCATCCCTTCAGAGGGGATAGCTTTGCCGCAATCCCTTATCTTCCATTCTCATTTCAGGATTTTAGGCAAACATTTGCACACACTCAGTGTGAGTTTGAAGCCACCAGATCTGGAACTTGAAACATGGTCGACTGCATGGGAGCCCAGCAGTGTAACTATTACGCCATCTGCTGGTCCCAATATTAGTTGATTTTTATGAATGGCAATTAGCATTAACAGCAATAATTTAAAACATTAATGAAATTTTAAAATGTAAAATTGTATACATTAGTATATATTGTTTATTATTTTATTTTAATTTTTTTCTCTTTCTACAGGTCATGTGTGCTTGCTGGAGACAGAGAGAGAGAAAGAAAGAGAGGGAAAGGGAGAAATCACCTCCAGGGGAATGGCCACAGCACAGTTCCTTTTCCTCCATTCTCTTCTTGAGGTTTTGGGCACACGAGCACATGCACCTGGTGTGATTTTCTAGGTTCCAGGTCAGGGATTTGAACTGCTTTAGCCAACTATGCGGGATCTAGTCCCCTTAATCTCCACATCACTGACTGGCCCTCTTTTCAATCTTTAAAAAATACGTTTCCATTATGTTCCTAATGTTTAGTTATGCTTAAATGTTGCCTGCAATATAAACTCGATATCCAGCGACGACTTTAAGAAAACAAGAATATGAACCAAACCCTACAAGATTATTGGAGCAAACAAGTACCATTTTTTTTTATTTTTAAGTAAAGATTAATATAGCAGTGGTCAACTCAGGCTAGGGCCAAAGCAAGAGAGACAAAGAAGTGAAATGAGTAAGAACATCAGTCTAGACTCATGCAGACCTAAGTTCAAATCTAGATTATTCTATGTGTTGTAGTATTAAACAAGCTACTTAAAACTCTCAAAACATGGACCAGCAGGTGGTGTAGAGGCTGGCATGGCTGGATTCCACATGACCAACTGCTTAATTCAAGTCCCAGACACGGCAACTTGAAAACCATGCCAGACACATGTGCCTGTGTACCCATTCTCTCAACAAGAGAATGGAAGGGACCAGCAATTACCATAATGGCTATGTCGCTGGACTCCCATGTAGTCAACTGCGGTTCGCGTCCCGGACTCAGTGGCTTAAAACTCATGCCAGGTGCGTGTGCGTGCATGCCCAAGATCCCAAGAGGAGAATGCAGGAGAAGGGATTGTGGTGTAGCCATCCCACCGGGAGGTGATTTCTCGCTTTCTGTCTTTCTGTCTCTCTGTCTGGAAAAAAAAACCCATAAAAAAAAAAAAAAAAAAAAAAAAAAGAGAATGGACGAGAAAGGACTGCTGTGTGGTCATCTCCTCCCCCCTCCAGGGAGTGATTTCTCTCTTCCTGTTTCTCTGGCAATGTAGAGACCCTATAGCAAATCAAAAAAATGTAAATAA